AACATACTATGTAGTTTCTGATAGTGATCGATAGATTTGGGGGGGGGTAAGGCGAAGTAAACATCAAATATCAATTTCACAAATCATTGATTGTTTTCAATTAAACCGATGTCAAAACAGTTCTACTGTATGGGGCGGAAACCTGGAGAACTACGAAAGTAATCATCCAAAAGATACAAGTGCTTATTAACAGTTGTCTACACAAAATACTTCGGATCCGTTGGCCAGACATTATATCAGCAACAACCTACTATAGGAGAGAAAAAACCAGATCCCAGCGAAGAAAGAAATCAAGAAGAAGCGCTGGAAGTGGATAGGACACACATTGAGGAAAGCACCCAACTGCATCACAAGGCAAGCCCCCACAAGGAATCCTCAGGGTCAAAGGAGAAGACCAAAGAACACACTGAACATGAAACATGAAAAGAATAAAAAACGATTGGATAGAAATAGAATGAAATGCCTAAGACAGAGTGGGTTGGAGAATGCTGGTTGGTAGCCTATGCTCCATTGGGAGTAACAGTTGTAAGTAAGTAAGTAAGATGCTTTGAATGAAGTGAATATTTCGAATTTCTATTTTTACGGAATAAATATTTAGCTCTATGTCAATCTAAGTTTTCGACACAAGTAAACATTACTTTTCATCAGTGAACGTCAACTGTGGGATGCAGGCACATACAGCTGACGAGTCCAAAATGGGACGAAACACGTGTCTTGGATTCCACTGCTGGCAACCATCCATCTTTACTTATAAAAATTAAAAGTTCAAAAACATGAATTTTGTTGTATCATAAGATTGTTAATACCTTTTGAATAGTTTAATAACATCTATCACAGTACTTGATTTCAGTTTTGATATGGTTTTAATCATGGAAAATTGAAGTCTCTTAAAATAGATTTTGTAAATAACTTCCATAAAATTAAACTTTATGCAAACTAAGAACAATCATACAGATTACTTGAACCTGAATAATACAAATATATATATCAAAAACTCTTATATTTCACTTCAGTGTACAATTGTTCAATATTCAATATTACATACCAACTTGTTCAATGTATTTCAAATAAAATATTTCATTATAATTTTAAACTTTCATTCAAATTCATATTAACCATAGCTTAGTTCCAATAGTTAATATAACTTATCATTTTTCTTACTTACTTATACTACTAATACTATATAATTCGATCAATCTAACTCAAGACTGTTGTATACAGATTAATTTCATTGTTTAATAAGAAGATAATATTAAGATGATTGATTAGTTTTATCATTCAACATTCTCAACTATAGCCCTATTACATAATGTTTATCATATAAAATCAAATCTTGTTTTGTACGTTTCTCATTGAAGATTATGTTCGAAATAAAAAGGAAAAAGAAACGGTGATAGATGAAAACAGTTGTGAAAATGATAAAGAAAGTTAACGCTATTCATCATCAATCAACAACACCATTTCGATTTACTTCTTAGACAAACAATAATGTGTATTAGTTGGGTTTTTTATAAGAAATTAATGAAACTATACAATAAGTCAGGGATAATAGTTATGTATCTATATAGTTATCTATCTATCTTTATCATCTAGAAAATCTCCTCAGTGTTTATAAAGTCTGTTTCTATATGATTCTTTGTTTTCTGTAAGTTTGTATCTCTTTGTCCACATATATCGAATTGTCTACACATCTGTCTATTCATTTTTGTATATATATATATATATATATATATATATATATATATATATATATATATATACTAGATATGAAGTCAGATATTATTAACCGTCACGGATTTACTCTCACGAATGGTTGCATAATGATTATAATTAAGCTGTGCCAAAATCCAAATCAATCCTTACAATATTATTCATTTTTGTAAATGATGTCCTAGTTTATCTACTAAGAAAATATTGGTTTTTCCACTGTTTCTAAGAAAAGTGTATTTCTTTCCAAATTACTTATTCTTATATATTTTTTATCATTTATATATTAAATCCCTTTCTTTATCGATCTGATCATTATTGTAAATTGATTTGCCTTCTGTAATTATATTCAGCATATAAATCATTTATTTGAGCATGTGTAGATTTATATTCTTCAATGAAAATTGACGTTATTATAAAACATTCAATAGATTAAATTTTAAAATTAAACAAAGCAAGATAAGTTTTATCTAAATGATGGATTCATCAGTTTAATACATCTGAAAAATTATGCATGGAAACGACATAATACAAGTTGAACTACTGCCCATTGAATATATGATTATTGTTTATTTCAATTGTTCTATTAAAAATTTCAGGTCATAATGAAAACTATTTCCAGTTGTCATAAACAGAGATGAGTGTTGGCTAGCAGTGGAATCCAGGGCTCATATTGAGTCCTATTTAGGACCTTTAAGCTGATTGTACGTAGATCACACAGTTAATTTTCACTTGGGGGTTCGAACCCAGTACCGTTTGCTTCAAACGCTATCGTGTTATTTACGAATTCCAAGTTTTGTAAGTGAATTTAGTTAGATTATCATTGAGAACCATAAAGCATCGGACACGTTTTACGTCTTAGTATGGGACTCCTCAACATACAGTCGCACAATATCGTAAAATGATTGAACTTGAACATTTCCACCATTAGTTTTCATTGGTGGCCTAGCTAAAATCAGTTCGTGATACAAACTATGAGAATACTGCAGACGTTATACTGATAATACATATAATTATTTTGTGTATATTTTAAACAAAACATTGATAAAGATGAACATGTAATGCCTCTAAAGCTTGAGTTCATTTATTTCCTTCACAATTTTAGAACAGTTTTACCAACAGCGGTCAATTACATTGATCAATCTACCAAAATAACTAGGGTTTAAATAAATCAATATCAACTTTGAAAGTAAGACATAAATGATTGATATGGAACAAGACAACACCCAGTTAACTGTCATTCATATTTTGAAATATAATTATCTTCTGTGATAAATAAATGGAAAATAAGAACTTATTAGACAAACTTAACATCCCCATTTCACTTTGTATTCATAACCTCTAAGTGAATGGTATTATTGTAGTGAACAAGAACACCACTGGGGACAATCAGTTGTATTTGAGCACCAAATTACAGAGCATCTCACTAAAATTTGAGAACCATATAGCAAATAGTTAATTTGCAAAAGATCATTCCATCATCTCAAACTTGACATTCCCTTTTGTAAATATCAATGCATTGTTTCAGATTTCATCGTCCATGCATTTTCATATAAATTGCGTTCCGTTTCCATTCTTTCCTTCTCAATCTTCTGCTAAAATACATTCTATTCCTGACTACCGTTATATATTACTTGTTCATATATAAGTAACCCACACCACAGTATTAGTGGAATGGATGAGATAGGCAAAAAGCTGATATTATATTCACAAGACATATTTTTCTAATCCCATTTCAATGGATTTCAGAATATAGAATCATTTTCTGACTGATCAATTAAATATAAGAAGAAAACTAAAAATGTTATTTATAAACAAATGTTTTAGCAAGCAGAATACAACCACGATTCACTTGTCATACTGTTCATGATTAATCTCCTGTACAATCACTGATACAGTTACAAATTCTACTACACTTTCATTTGTCTTGATAATTTCATTTCATTATACTGGTGACTTGAACCGATCCACAAGTGTTCTGACAATTACTTGTTTATGGCTTACTAATTAACAAATGCATAATCATGATTAAAAAATAATGGTTATAATTCTATACTACTCATAATAAATAATTTCCATTTAGCTTCATTTCACATGACTAAGAATTACTTGCTATTTTCATAAACATTCATTTTATTTCTTTAAGTTTTCATTAGCTGTTTACAACGTTATTACAGATAAAAGATGAATATATGTATCATGATGTAGCGAAGATTTTGATTGAGTTAATAAGATCATAAAAAAATTTCATTTCGGATAAATAAAGTTTGGGAGGGAATGTTCCAGAACATTATTGTGTAATCAAGTGATTGAAAACAGATTAATGATAATAAAGGAAAATATGGATTAAAATCAATCCGTAATAAAAACTTGAGAAAGAGTTGAAATAATGAATGACATAATCAATAAAAAAGGAGGGGTAATGTTACTAGGGCAAAGAAAGTTTTATTACGGTCTCTTTTTGTATACATAGATCTGGTTTCAAACATTTGATCTCTATTGCTTCGGCGAATTTACTTTAAGAAAACATTTATAACGATCGGTAAACTTTGTTTCAGAATCAGTTAACATTTTTGTATTTGCAAGTAAATTTAAGTGTCAATAGTTTTTTATATTGAGTCTAGACTCTAGATAAATATTAGACATTTAAACAGTTTACATCACTTTGAGCAATGTAAACATGAGTGATTTACGTCTGATTACTGTGGAATAAATATACAGAAAAACAAAATATAGAAATTTCAGAATAAATAGAAAACTCGAAAGATATTAATCTTGAGTTACTTAATGATATTGATGATGTGGAAACTCATCATACTACACTTTAATTAACAAAGAATTAGATAATTTCCCTCATATTCTATTGACAATAAACAAGACTACGTGTTTGTACATTGATACACATAGATGTATGATGAAATATTTATGTCTTAGTATTTTTTTTTCTGAATATCTAAGGAAATCAGAAGTATAGAAACGGACATTACATTCTTCTTTTGTATTTATGGACAATAAACACTTTGTCTGTGTTTACCACAAAAGAAATCAACTATAGAGTTAAATTAAATAGTCTGATCGTTTTTTTCTCTTTTGTTTTGAATTTGTAATAACTCATAATTAATAATGTTAACAGTGCATAAACGATGGTCACGCGATCTTCAAGAAAAGATGATAACATTGTTTCTAAACAAGCTAGTTGGAAAACAAGTGAAAAATAAAGTAAAAAATATATTCGGATGAACAAAACACTTCATTTGCCATAAACTAGAAAACAATTATCATCTTAAAACAGTCTATGATGATGATGATGATGATGATGATGATGATGATGATGATGATGATGATGATGATGATGATGATGATGATGATGATGATGATGATGATGATGATGATGATGATGATGATGATGATGATGATGATGATGATGATGATGATGATGATGATGATGATGATGATGATGATGATGATGATGATGATGATGATGATGATGATGATGATGATGATGATGATGATGATGATGATGATGATGATGATGATGATGATGATGATGATGATGATGATGATGATGATGATGATGATGATGATGATGATGATGATGATGATGATGATGATGATGATGATGATGATGATGATGATGATGATGATGATGATGATGATGATGATGATGATGATGATGATGATGATGATGATGATGATGATGATGATGATGATGATGATGATGATGATGATGATGATGATGATGATGATGATGATGATGATGATGATGATGATGATGATGATGATGATGATGATGATGATGATGATGATGATGATGATGATGATGATGATGATGATGATGATGATGACGTCAGCAAAACATGGCCATTAGGATATAAGTTACTTGTAAGCTAATAGTATTTGACCACAGATTTCTCAGAAATATTGCTCGCATCTGCTGGGATCAACCATTAAGTAATAGTGATTTTAGACGCTGGGTATTAGGGAATGATGGTAAATTAGTTGATGAGGTTGTGAATCTTTAGTGATTGAGATGGTTGGGCCACGTGTTACTTATGCCTGAACACCGATTACCACGACGTGCAATGCTAACTGTTGTCGGAAATGGTTGGAAGAAAGTTATGGTTGGCCAAACCAAAATGTGGAATCAGTGCTTGGAGTCACTAAATTCTGGTTTGAGCCATATTGGTAGATGTAGACTACTTGGTTGGAGCCCACGTGACTATCGTAACCAATGGTTGGAGACTATGTGTGTCATGGCTCAGTATCGACCACAATGCCGTCGGTGTATTCACTCACTGTTTTCCTTTAAACTAAGAGATTAAAATCACTGCATGTCTTTCTTTCTACGAACTAATTCTTTCTTTCTGTACTATATCCATATATGCGATCTTTCTTTTAAATATTACCACCATTGCTGTGCTAATGCTGTATGGCAACTTGAATCGATGCATATATGTGCCTGCTCCTACTTTTTAGCTGACTGACTGACTGAGACTACCATGAAAAACCTGTTTCTTAAACGGTTTTTTCATAATCATTTTTTAAAAAATTCTTTCGAATTTTTAGTGTTTACTTTATAAAAAGTATGTTTTCGTTTTTTCCCTAGATTTATAATTTTCATGAACAAACTACTTATAGTATATTAGACACACGTCATTGATTATATTAAAGATAACGCTTTATCGCTTTTCTCTCCTTATTTGTTCTGTTCTGTTCTTTTCTGTTCTGTTACGTTACGTTACGTTCCGCTAACGGGTCCTGAAAACATAAATTAATTCAGTGTTTCGTTTGATCAATTACAAGAAAATGCAGTTCTATGTAGGAAAGAATTATTTCTCTATATGTTCAATTTAAATAATTTTGAATTTATTCAAAAGCATCTACCCTGGTAATATTAGAAGTTTGTTATTAAATACCTTAGACATTATCTAGATGGATTGAATGGATAAACGAAAACAACTAAGAGCTTCAAAATAACAAGTTAAAATTTATCTTAATGAAATCCAAGAAACAATCAAGAATATTTCAGAAGGTACATAGAACGAAGCATTTTTCCATAAAATAAACGTAATTACAATAATAAACTGATAATCATTAACAATCATTCTAACCGGTGAAGGTTCGTTAAATATGATGAAATTTTAAAAAAAGGATTAAGGAAACTAACAAAAGATTACAAATAACAGAAAATGGTAGTCAATACAATTAGAGCAAAATATCTTCATAATGTATCAAATCAATACGGTTAAATCTTATAACTGATTAGATGATACGTAAGTGATTGAAACAGTCCAGTCAATGACGAATCAGTATAGAATAAGAAATATTAGGCCAAGGACATGATATTAAAGATTAATAGAGATGTCAAAAAATAATAACTAATGATGGTGAAATAGGAAATGTAGCTTATATGATATAAAATCAGTATAAATAAGACGAGAAAAATTAATGGATAATCATATTCAGCTTAAATTACCAGGACGAAACGCGCGTCCTGGATTCCACTGCTAGCCACTATCCATCACTGTTTACAAATAGCTTGTAAATTAAGGTAATATCGAGGCATACGCACAATATGCACATATGCCAATAACAAACTGATCAATTGCAGTCTTAAACCTCAATGGGAAGGTACAAGCCAAACAATACCAAGTAAATTATCAGGTTTTCAAAATTGATATTTAAGTTTAAAGCTGTAAATATCAATTACCTTTAAAAGTGCTTTATAAAGTTTCTCATTCAGAGAGTGTGTTTAATTAGAATATGTCTTTTCTTTGGGTTTGTTTTTCAAATTGGATGTAGAATATGTTGTGATTCGATAGTTTCAAGACAGTAAGCATTGTGTTATGTCTTTCGTTATTATATCTACAGAGTGCTAAACTGGTTTGTGCTTGGTAGTGAATACTTGAATCCGACGTGTAATGAAAACACAGAGACTGGTGAAATGGATTCATTTGACCCAGGAAACACACATTATTTCGTATATAATTTATTTTCAGTCAAATTTATATAAGTCGAACTATATCATATGACTAATTATTTATCATTAATTGATTAAATTATGTCATTGCACTTTCTCAAGATATGATTACATGACATCAGAAAAAGTTAGTTGTATGTTATTCCTACTCCAACCGAATAATTCATTGCTCGCTACATCATATTAGAACTATGATAGATTTTCCCATATCTGTTCCAACCATGAAAGTTCTATGAAATAATTTATCTGCCATTAGCTAGAAATTTTATGAATTGTCTTAATAGAATATAGTTTAAGTATTATGACTGAATATACATTAATGTTACCTTACTTACTACTCTACTTACATGGTCGACATTTCATAAATACTATGAGTGTTCAGAATTGACGGAAACTTTCTACACTATTACAAATGTGGTGCTTCAGTACCGAAATAACAGTCAACGAAGTTAGTATTGAGAAAGCATTCTTCTGATAAAAATGATTATCAGAGGAACAAACGGTTTTAAAGAACTTGTACGATATCCGAAGACCTGTTCAGTCTTATGAGTAACTTTTCAATTACAAATACATGCATTTGTAAATCAAAACTACAATAATATTTTGAAGGTACTGTTTTCGGTAAGCTGGATATTTTAATCGCAAAGCTTTCATTTTCTTTCCCAACAACATCAGGCCACACTTTAGTAAGAAACGTCGTGAACAATACAACGCCTCCGAAATTTACATATTGAGCTAAAAATATCCTCCATCATATCAAAAGTAAAAAGCAGAATGTCTCAATTATACCATTAAGGACTCAAGGAAGAAATATGATTGTTAGCATCACTTATACAATAACACCTACATTTACATCTGTTCACTGAATACACAAATTAAGAACACTCATAACGAGATGACAATCATGATTTCTCGTAACATAAGTGATCTCTTAGATTTTTTGAATGCCAGTAAGTTCAATATTCACACCTACGAGTGAAGTATCACTAAAATATTGATCAATGCAGTAGATTGTTTCTTTATATGTTTTTCAGTACACATAAATTCATTAGGACAGAAAATATTTCAAAAAGACAGCTGATTAGCTGCAGCTTCCTTGGTTGCGGTACACACTATGTTGATATGGCGAAAATTCCACGGTAGCGTAGCAGTTATGTACATTTAGTATATTTTACTTGTTCATGAGTTCAGTGTCATTCTCAATATTTTATACTTTTATCTCACCTACCCCTTGTGAAACATATCTCTCATGCTTCAATCTCCATTAATGTTGAAATTATCACTCTTTCGCTTTCCTTATGTGAAATGCAATAGATTGAATCGATGCGAATTTGAATAACCAATAAAATGATTCCATCTTAAAAGATACAATATCTGAATAGATCTCAGAGAAACACTTAGAAATGTACTGTTGAAATACACATCGAAACCTTAACTAAGCTTATTGAGTGTAAGGTATGCACTTCGTACCAAAATCGTTTAAGATATTTGAATACATCCGGATATCCTTATTATATTTATTTTTAAGACATTATTCATAGGTCTTAAAGACCACTACCAAAAACGATTCTTATAAATTGCTAAGTCAGTGGAATCGATTTTGCACTGTTCAGTTGGATGTACTTGCATTCCAAAAAGCACTCAGTAGTACTCACTACTGTAGTGTTGTTGATTCACTATAGTTACCATCATTAGAAAAGTTGTGACTAACATAAAACGGTTACATTGTTTACGTGTTGATATTCAGGAGCGAATTCAATTCATTTCTATTGGTTAGTCTAATGGCATTTGAAATCACTGAAAGTCCTAATACTGATCAATAATAATATATACTTCTGGAAATGACTAGAGTACGCATATCGGTTTACGATCATCATCAGATTGACAAAATAAAGAATAGGTAGCACATAAAATTATGAATTGAAGGTGGCGTTATTTTAGAGTAAAATATTATTTTTGGGAAAGATTCTGTGGTAGTCCTCAATTTTGTAATTATAGAGGTGTCTTTAATAAATAATGTATAAAAAACACAAAATATGCTCAAATGGTATAATCACAAAGTAACTTGAGTTTTGAAGTGGCCGGTATCACATTTCTAGACTTACGTGGACAAAACCGACAAGTTTTGAGTAAAGAAAAATTTTCATCTTTTAAACACTAGGACCATTAAAGAATCTGTTCAAGCGTCCCGAATATTAAAAGCCAGTAGATATGAATTCTCAAGGTTAACTATTATTGAAGTCCCTTGCAGATTATTGATCATTACAAAATTTATCTAACCTGGCTTAAAAGTTCATATTAGTCTTCGAATTATTTAGCCTACCGCTCAAAAAAGGATTTGTTTAGTCACAGATAGTGTTACGCAAAATGACATTTATCAAACAATACTACTCATTAGTAGTTCAAATATTTGTATCATATCCGTGTTCGGAATAGTGGTTTTAGCACAACCGGATTATATCTAGCAGTGGATTCCACTCATATTTGATTCAGGGTATAGTTGAGAACTACTACAGATGTTCGAGATATATTTTGTATTATTAGATGCTATACTAATAGACAGAACGGTTTATAAAGTGTAATGGTAAATACATATCATTGTTAATATTGTGTTGTAGTGGCTGGTACTATGTCAAGCCACGTAGGTTATTCTAGCTTCTGAACAGACTAATCTATTCATTCTTCCCAAGCCACATTTCGGCCTTGTCACTAATTCGCTTATTAACCCTGGCTGTTTTTGTTTAGGTATATATGTGTTATTTACCTACCCTATCCATTATGTGTCTGTAACTTAATTTTGTCTGACTATAATTTTCGAGTCGCGTTTGATTAAATCGAGTTGGCTCACTAGCCTTCTCCGCTTGTTTCGCTTTCCTCACTTTGTTTCTCGAATTACATGCTCATATCAATGAGTTTACGAAGCATACGAATTTGACTTATTTTATTCCGTTATTCTTTAACCCGAATTAAGTCTATAATAATATACAAGGGTTGGTGGCATGTATATTTTTATAACAATCAGCATATGATATAAATGGAGTCAGGTATAGGCACCACAAGAATATGACTGCCGATATATCATAGCAATCTACTTTTGCACACACACTCTAGCTTCTCACCAGGTAAATGCCATCGTATTTGTTCGGGGAGTTTTGCATTAATGGTCAACTAGCTGCGTATATATAAAATACTATCAAACATTTTAGACATTTGATTTCTCTCCAAAATCTTTTTGAAAAGGCTTGACTAGCATGGCCTGTTCATCTTAGTAGCGCTTCCTTTCATAAAATTCTTGTGATTACAATGAAAGGAGAATGAAGTGTAATAAACAAAAGTATGCTACCTGCGACTGAATGTAAGTGAGAGCATCAATGACTGTTTGAAAATTACGTTATAGAAACAGTATTAGAAAGAGCCCTGTATCATCAAGGTTTGATTGGAAACGAATCCAAGTATATGGTATATTTCTCTTTTCTTCGAGAAAGATAATGGCCTGCATTCTGTTACATACCATAAAATGTCGAATCGCTACATAGACACTGGACTGGTTTGATACTAATTAATTGAGGAAAGGTATTAATCGTGTTAGGTTGATAGATATCTAATGATTAAGCTCCCATGCTCAGAACGGATAAAATAATTCAAGTGTTTGAAGTCCCTAATATGACTTTTGTATGATACGTATACTTTAATTGCTGTTTATTTTGTATTAGTATTTCTTTGAAAAATATTGTGCCTAACTCAATTTTATTGCTCGAGTCAAGAAGTGTGAAATGAACTGATAGGAATGTAGTGAACAGGAAATGACCCAAAAATTATGTGGAATATTTGCATTGGAAGTAGAACCACAAAACTCCAGTTTAATCAGCTATTACTTTAAAGAAAACCAAATTAACCAATATCTTTTTGGATACACTAAAGTGTAGCAAATCCCAATTCATTTGC